ACTTCTGCTGTCCTAGTGACTACTGGATGCTAGGAATTAGACAGAAATAATGCCCAGCTACTTCCAAGTACATTGCTCATCACTTTAATCAGGGAGCTTACAATGTCTCTCCACTGCTGTGTATATTTGAATTTTTAATCCATGTTTGCAGAAGTATGACAGTATGTCTAACAGAAGACAGACTATGTACACTCCTGCTAAAGCACCACATACTTTAGCAGAAAACAACAGAGACACTTGAGATTTCTACATGGTATTATTGACAATCATGATGCAAGATTATAAACCCAAGCTTCAATTTCACATAGAAAGTTCTAGAAAGAGTTCTAGAAAGAACCTGTAGGAAGTCAAAGCATCAGATCAAGGTCTGCAACTAGTTAAGTGTCTTTTCCCAAATTTGCTTAATGGAAATTTGAAAAGAGCATGATCCAAAGTTACACTGCATCCTTGAGACTGCTGCCTGCACAGCTTGCATTCGCAGGGAAGCTAACTTCCATGTAGTTACAGCCAACAGGAAAATTATTATTCTCCAATTTACTTGGTTTATGTGTGTTACCCATCTTTTAAAATCATCGTGTCCTATCACGAGACCATCAGTTACACAGTGCATTTCATGGGAGCTGTTTCTGTCACCCTACACAAAGAAGGTACCATGGCTCTGGTTCCCAGAGTCCATCTGTCTCTCCCAGGAGCAAGAAATAACTTCACTTGCAACTTGCATTTTAAAAGCAGGTGCAGAGTAGTAAAGGAAACAAACTGAAGGAAGGGAAAAAATGGAAGGAAAAATGTTGGTCTAGGGAGTGGGGACCAGAGGCAAGGAGACAGCAGGGAAGGAACAGAGATTGTCTTTGATAAAAGTTGTAAAGGTCAGCTTATTCCAGTTGTTGTACCCACCATTGCCAAACTGTGGAATAAATGTATAAAGCCTTCAAAGCTTCTTCATTCAACTAAACAAACAGCAGATGGGAGAATCTCTTCTGTTTGGTTTTCAGCTGCTGCCTGGTGTTCCCGTTTTATCTTATGAAGCTATATGGTATCCAGATACTTGACACATTACTCAAGTAGACTCCCAGGCTCATGTGCTATTGTCTCCCGCAGCTTCAGAGTGATGGTTTGACTCAACTGGATTACTTTTAAAAATATTCACCACTACAGACATTTTTTGAACACAGAAAAGTCATAATTCAATGATTCAATCTATTTTCCGGTGACTTGGAAAGTCCACATTAGGATGCATCATTTGATGGCAAGTACTACTTATGTCTGCATGTACTAAGATGAAATTAGGCAAGACATATGTAAAACTGGATTAACGGGAAGGCTTACTGCACAGCTCCCCACCATCCTGCTCCTCCCTCTGCTGAATTTGGAGCTTGGCCAGTGACTCTCATCAGGAGTGCAAGCCTCAATTTCCTCCCTACAGGAGTATAGGGCTTACAGTAGGAAAAATATGCTTGCCATCCTCATAGTGGCATGAAAATATGAATGGAGCACTCACTAGATACTGGTCTTGTTCTCAGGAACCACAGTTTCTGATGCAGTCTCAGGAAATGTATGTATCATAAGGACACTGAAAAGCTGTGCTTTAATAATGCTTTAAATATTAATCAGCAGTTTTATCAATTGCTCCACTGTGGTATCCACTGATTGCTCCTAAAGAACACCCATCTCCTATTCACTAATATTGCAAGAAAGATTGTTCTGGATTATTGCTTATCCTTAGATCTTGAGAAAAAAAATCACTGAACTCTTTGTTCTTCCAGCTTGTATCTCTTCTGCACTTCCTTCAAAGATGGATTTCCCTCTTCTCCTTGGGGAAATCCCTGAACTACGTCTCTCTCCATTCATACACTGTAGAAGTATAATGGTATGCCCAAAATTTCATAGATTTCTGAGTAAAAAATTTCCACACTGAATTTTAATGGATGCATGTTTGTAGAAGTAAATTAACCATTTATGCCTTTTAAGAGATATGATTTGATGAGTCTTCTGAAGTTCACTAAATTAATGCAGTGCTCAACAGAGCATGGGCAATCAATATTCACAAATATCCCATGTGTGTTGGAAATCTGATTATTTGTTTCTACCTGTGCCTGCTGACTCTTACTTTGTCACTGTGCATGTCCAGCTTTGCTCCATCTCCTCTCCAACCACCCTTTAAGTAATTGTAGACAACAGTCAGACACTTCTGAACCCTTTGTCTTTTAGACTGAGCAAATTCCTCTCCTTCAGCCTCTCTTTGTGCATAAGTGGTCCAGGCCACTGACCAGTTTGGTGAACCTATGCTGGCTGGTCTCTCCAGCAAATGTTTATGTCTTGTACTGTGGAGACCAAATAACTACCAAAGAAGCAAATAATCACTTCTCTTGCTGCTCTGACCTTAAACAACTACCAAAGACCAGGTTCTGCAGATCCCTCACCCTTTATTTTCACATGACCTCTTCCTGTGCTGGTGTTATGTGAACCAGATCACATCCTATATATTTTGGTTTATTTTCTGTACACACCATCAATAGATATCAAGTGGTTTTCAGCCCCATAAATGCTGACTGGTCCCCCTTTCTTCAGGGGATTAGCTTGTCTGAAAAACACAGTATGAAGTGTGACAGAGCATGAGATGCTGCAAAGAGTACAGATGTGTAACATGATGATTCATGAAAAAACAAAGTGAGACATATCAACATTTATTCCCACTAGACTAATTCCCTTTTATAAAAGTAACAGTGTTTTGGGAACATTTAGCTGCAAAGAGGAATAGGGGCTGGTCCAGACTTCTCACCTCGGAAAGAAAGGAGAATTTTGTCTCTGACTTCAACAGTAGTAAATCCACAGATCCTTTGCCAAACCATACAGTGAATAGAGAGCAAAATGTGTCACATCCACTGCTGTGTAATGCACAGCTGCCATTAAGACCCCTTAGTGTAATGGTCACTGACCATCCTCTGCATGGATTAAATAGTCCTTTTGCAACTTCGAGACATAAAAGGGAAAAAATACTTGTCCTAGGGAGCAAAATGAATACAGGTAGGAAATAAAGTGGGCGTTAAGCCCAAAAAACCTTCCAATTTTTGGAACAACCTAAGAGTTTCAGCTGCTCCCCAACCTCTGGAATCTGTCTTGGAGAAAGGAATTTGCAGAGCCTGAAAGAAGAGGCAATGCCATACTGCCTGCCCCTAGCAAGGAGTGCTGGAGGGGCTCCACAAAATAACTTTTATGTCAGGGAATAATTATTTTGTACTGAGACAGAAATTGTCTCATTTAAATAACATTTTTCCTACATTACTTTCTCAAGGCCTAAGGCTTTGCTCTTCCAAAAAATGAGATTTTTGGCAGCCCCAGAGCTTTTCTCGTATTTCTGTCTGTCCTACTCATACTATAAACAGTATTCTTACAAAATAATTTCTAGACTACAGTTTCTTCATCAGTCCACTGGAGAAGAAAGGAAAAAAATCTATGTTTTATGTAACTTAGCAGCTGCAGACAGTTACTTGGTTGTGCTGTACAGGTCTACCTTTTGTTAGTCAAATAGTCCAATTCTATGGGATTGGATTATTCAGATGTCAGACGAAATGTTTAAACAGTCACTTTTGGCATTAAAAGCTATAAAAACAATTATGATTTCAGTATCATAAACAATGCTATTAAATACAAAGTGTCTGTATGTACCCTTTAAAGTTTTTGTACTGTATTGGAGTCACTCATAATACTGAATATACTTTTTAGTTTGGGGATCTCTTCCTAGATGCTGGAAGAGATTGTGGCTGATAATCAACACATACTAATAAGAATCCATGAGCAACAAAACTATATTTGATGGAACTGTGGGAAAAATCCTTATAATTCTGCATTCAACTTCAAAATCAAATACTGTTCTGTTCACTGGTATATTCAGTTTGCATTCCGCAGACAAAAAAAAATATTGGTTAGATCAACAATATTCCCTTTACTTTTATACCTGTACATTTGTGAGTAGCTGAAACACAATCCTGGACCTGCCTAAACTAACAGGGATTTTGCTTGAATCTGTGAGGGGTTTTGGCAACAGTGATTTTATTAATTCATTTAAAATCTGTAGATATTTTTGCTCTGCACAGATTTCCAGGGATATATTGGATAGGTACTGAATGTAGGGAATGTAAATTGCCCCTCCTTCTGGCCAGGGATGGTGACTGACGATTTAGCAGTCCTATGATGCTCTAAAACCTCTCGAGGAGCAGTAACCTTCCAGGAGACTTCAAAACAGAACACAATCATTCCACCTCCTGTCTTGAGCCACAGCTCCAGCAGAACAATGAATCAGAGACACCCAATGCCCTAAGCACCATAGCACCTCCTCAGTCATTTCTTATTAAAATAAAATAAAAAGAGGTCTGCCAAGGTACTTTGAACTTTCTGGGGAGAAAGAAAAATGATCGTGCAAGCTGAAGCAATTAGAGGAGCTGTGAATGGCTCCATCAAACAGATGGCTAGAGGAACAGAGTCTTTCCCCATAGGTATTATAAATAATGTTTTCATATTTTATATGTTCTATAAACAATTTCAAATGCAGTGGAATTAGTGGGGATGGAGGGAAATATAAGAAGCGAGCAGGGTGGGAGTGCAGGGTGAGGGAGGATATGAAAGACGAGCTGTCTGAAATATGAAGATCATAAGTACTGGTGTGTCTGGTTATTTGAGTGTCCCTAGCAGTCAAATAATGAGCCTTCTTCATGTTTTGCCTTTCTGGACTTGGCTTGCTTCGACAAATTTGTAGGCATTAGGGTCTGTCTGGAGTTAGTTCCAAGATCTCTTTTTTTTTCCCCTTAACATTTTGCAGCTGAGGCAGCCTTGTGAAAAAGATGCTTTGAAGAGAAACATTACCAAATATGTCTTTTCTCCTGCCCATATCTTCTGTTTCCACAGGAAAAGGACGCAGGCACAGGCAGCCCAATGGAAACACAGGAACATCCACCGTCACAGGGGGAGGAAGGCAAGTCCTGTCTGCAGCCCTGCTCACAGAGGAAGCAGCTGAGAGTAAACGTCTTGAACATCCGTAAAAGGGGACGCTGACAGCTTGACTTTTCTGCCAGGTCTGTAAAGGTTTTACTCAGCGCTTCCACCACCTCCAGCCACCCTTGGCCACTCTTGGCTGACCACCTTAGATGATTGTTTTGCTTTCCTCAGCTGCTCTTTGCAAAGTGCAGACAGCAGGGTCTGTCTATTTTTGTCGGGGACACCACTCACACAGGCAGGATAACTGAATCCTGTGCTATGAAATTCTTCCTGCCAGAACCTCAGCTGCAAAAGCAGCTACATAACCTACTCACTTCTCTGTGTTTCCAAAGATTTTAGGTAATCACAGAATGAGAATGGAAGAAGGGAGCTGCTTGTTCCTTTCCACTGCTACTTCTTTTCTGATACAAAATGTTGATTGTAACACCTGCATGTAAAAGCCCTAAAGAGGCTGGTCACTGTGCTAGGATTGTATAGACCAAAACCAAGATGTTTTACTGTCCTGTTCATTGATGTCCCTTCTACTATTATCTCAATAATTTTTCCCCAGAGGAAAATCCTAACCTCTGCAGTCACAATTGCTCAAAAGTCCTTATTTACATGTACTGAAACTCCCTTTTCCCCAAAATGTTACTGCGAGCTTTAACACAAGCGAAACCAAACTACCGAAGTCATCATTATCCCTCTACCATTCTTTCTTGCTACTCCCCAATCACTTTTTTCTGTAACCTATGACAGTCATACCAGTCTTCAGACCATACAGACTACAGCTCATCCAGACATGCATAAAGGGTGGTTTCTTGTCTGGTCTCTTTTCTGAGTGAACAGGCAACTGCTACCAGGCAAAATCTCCTAAGGTTTATCTCTGCCTCCTTCTCCTTCTGGAAGAAATTAATTCTACTTCCTAGCTTCTAACCAGCTCTCACAGAACTTGAATATTTAAACTTTGTGGCAAGTCAGGTTGAAACTAGTGAATGCATTCAAAAGATGCCACACTTGCTCAAATGGATAGGCCACGTCAGAATTATGATATGCTGTTTTCCTTAGGAAGACAAACAAAAATATTTCTAGACTGTTCTTGCAGACAGGAAGGAAATAGTCAAGCTCTGTTTACTCCATTTCAGACTAAGAACAAACCCAGATTATAACAGTAGCAAGGTTTCCCTAAGTGTTCCTACTTCAAATCCCATTTTGAACAGAAATTTTTGTTTGGCTTTCTGTACTACCTTCTTGTGCAATTGTATTGAATTATAATCAAATCAAGTGGCACTTGTGAAATCTTGTTCTCCATGGAGAGCTGTAGTGACATTATACTTTGACAAGCCACAAAGTTGAGTCGAGACAGAGTATGGAATCACCAGATGGCAACTTTATTTTGTAGTTAACAGATGAAGCTGCAGATAGGATTGGGACCAATAAAGAGCAAAGAATTTGGAATATAGTTATGTCTAACAATAACCTTGGCTGGGTTGCAGTAGGCAATCTCTGTGTAAATTTTCTGGCAGTACCAGAATGTGGCCTAGGTTTATGATGTGTCTCATTTGGTGATGGCAACTAGCAGAGAAATAAACCACAGGTGACCTACTGGTAAGACATTAGGCCTTAGGTTATGACTTGTATGAAACCTAAGATTAGATGCAAGGTAGTTTTTAAATTGTAGGGAGTTATCACATGATAGTTTTGGTTTGTTTTAGCGAATGCCTACTGCCCATGACTGTCTTAGGTTAGGTAAGAACTAGAAGGAACCAAAGAGTTGAAAGTCAGTTTAAAGCTAGTGAAGTAGAAGCTAGTAGTAGATCCTAAACCATGCCAGACTAGGTTCAGGCTGCAGGTCAGCAAAGAGCTTTGTGCTAGAGCCACCATCAAAGGTGACTTCTGCAGGCCAAGGAGATCTCCAGAGGATGGAGATCCTGGAGCCTGATTGAGACCTGGCATGGCAGGCATTTGCACAAGGTATAAGGCTCCAATGGAAGGCCACAGCCAATAACATGAGGCTGAGGCCCAGGGGGTGGTTTTCTTTCAACCACGAGCACTGGATGGATTACAATTATATTGGCATGTGTTGGGGTTTTTTCCCTATAATAGTGTTAGAGACAGTAGGTGTCTGTGTGCAAGGGCTACAGTAGGAGTCAGTGTCTCAGTGATAGTGCTCAAACAGTTTGGAGCTAGGCTTAAGAGTAAATCCAGTAAATCAGTCTGTGAACTGCACCCCTCAAAATATTCAGCTTCATCTTTTATGTTCTTGTTTACCAATCCTCAATGCAAACTCAAGCCACATTTATACCAATACCTTAAACTATTTATCTTCCTGAATTCCAACTCATTCAAATTTGTTCAGAGGAAATAATCAGAATTTTATTCAGTGTTATCTTCTGGCTTCAATCCTAATCCAATTCACAGATGCCTGCCTATATCAAGAGCTCTGAAAAGCTACTGTCCAGTGTGCATCAGTACCAGTTGCCATCTGAAGCTAAGTCTGAAGAAATATATTGTTAAGGTCTTCATGCCAAACAGTTCCATGGGTAAGTTTCATGCCAGACAGCTTGGCCAATATCATTAAAACAAAGATAGAAGTTGTATTTCTCCACTGGGCACCTGCAATTACTTTATTAAATTCCTATAGCTGCACATTATTCACATTATAACAGAGAAAAGCGCAGAGACTCGGTTGCACCAGCCCATATGAGGTGCAACCGGAGATGCCTTACAGAGACTCTCAGGGCCTGTCCTGAGGAAAGAGATCATGTCTGCACCTCAAGAAACACTGAGGCTGCTGCATGGCTTCTCCTGAGCAACACCTCATGAAATGCCACAAACTTCTGCATACATCTGTGATGCTTTCATTAACAGTGATAAATAAAACAGTAATAAATAAAATTACTAAAATAGCAGTAAATAAAATTGAGAATGGAAAGAGATATGCCTTTTCAGCAAAAAACCATAGGGGCAAAAAGAGGAGAGAGACATTTGGATTTTCAGGTTTAATATTCACTCTAGCCTTTCAGCTGAAGCATATAGGGGAAATGATTAGTTAGTTTTGTGCTAACTTTAATCATCAAATAACTCTTCATAATTTCTGACCAATATTCTTTCCCTTTGGAGTAACAATCAAATAATGCATGATACTCCCTGTTTACTTCCTGAGGAGACGAATAACAACTCCCTCCTGTTATGACTGCATACAGATCCAACCCCTCCTGCAAGTCCCCTGTGTCAGTCACCCCCCTCTTCCCACAAAACCCTTGTGCCTACAGTGGTAATTACAACCATTCTGAATTTTTGATCTCTTGGCTTTTTTTTTTTTTTTTTTTTTTTTTTGTTATTTTTGCTTCTTTCCTGCTCCCATTCCTCTCCCCAGCCTTGTAATTCTCTGCAGGCTCTGAACAATGGATTAGCTGTTCCCTCCAGTAAAGTTCTCCAGAAATAGTTTTTAGAGTTTTAGAGTATGTTTATCTTTCTTAATACTCTAGTGAGTAGCCCCCTCATGACTCACGGGCAAACAAAGGTCTTGAATGGTCTCGAATGGTTTGTTTATTCTTCTCAACTAGATGGCATTGCCTGGGGCTTGCCATGAGGGCAGCAGAGGAGATCTGAGGAGCTGCATACTGTTGCACATATTACATTACAAGCAACTTCATATTTGCCCTGGCCCAGACTGCTATGAATCAGAATGAAGGCTGGAAAATCTAGCTGCCCTCAGGTAGTCTCACTCTGATATTGTCCCATGTGCCAGTGTGCTTCTACATGTACATTCATTCCCATGTGGACCCACTGGTGAGAGAAGCAGAGGAGGAGTGGAGAAGTCACCCTAAATAACCCAGATTCTGACCTTTTCCCACTAGGCTGTCTCCCATTTCCGACATAATCACTGAATAACTCTTGCCCGTCAGTGGTAAGGTGTATTTTGGCTCACAAAGAACTAAGTCAAGAACAGTGCTGGAGCCCAAGAATTCAGTATTAGATAAATAAACAAGTTTACCACTCCTGACAAAGACAAAAACACAACAGCCAGTCACAGAGTTAAATGCCCAGCAAAAACAAATGTGCCCAAAAGAGACCTGAGCTCTGGAGCTAAGCAATATTCTTCAGAGTGCTGAATATAAGACTAGGTCTCATGGCCAGAGCTGGGTGTGCAAAGCCATGCAAAACATTCAGATACAGAACCTTAAATCACTTCAGATCCTGAAGAAGGATTGATGAGGTTAGTCAGTTGCCTGTCCCCTCAAGAGAAAGGATCAAGGTGAAAGAAGCTAAATGTGATCCAAGTAGGCACCTAAGCAAGCAGCTTTCTCCAACTTTTAAACACTCTGTGGTCTCTAAGGGGACTGTGCCTGTCTGGCAGCTCTGATTAGGAACATCTGTGAGCTCTTGCTTTTACAGAGAAGGTGTTGGAGGCTGGGCATAGGATGCTATTAGAGGTCTTCTTTTAGGGCTCAGAAACTTGAGACCTGTCCATTCAGCAACCCATACATCTAGTTGGGACACACCATGGCATGGATTAGGGTCATGGGTTAAGATGGAAAAGTGTCAGGTATTGTGTGATATTTTGACAATCATGAGTAGATCTGGGAAGCTATGCTGGTTGAGAGAGATGAGGCTGCTGGGATGCAGCTATTGTTTTAGATACAAAGATTTAAAATAAAACTGTTAGAGGAAAATATATTAAATCTAGACCTACCTAGCAGAGGTCCCAAGGTGTCTATGCCCTCATTTAGCGAGGGCTGAATAGCAAAATTTGGAACTAAAGGCAAGGGTGACCAAGTGGCATGAAAACTCAGAAGATGGTGTGGAGGTAAAAAATTATCAGATCACCAAAGGAAGAAGATTAATCAGAGCTACTGTACACTGAAAAGGAAAAGAAGTCTTTGTGACTGAGAGGAACCTCAGCATCTAAAATGCAGGTTGGTACCAAGGTGTCCTACCTGGTATCCACCTCTTGTTTCAGAATAACATGGGCCTTCTAAAAATATGACATAAATATGTCACAATATGACAATAAATATGTCACAAAATATGACACAAAATATGTGACATGTATCAGGTACCACAAAGCACTTAAAATGTCACAAGTGACTTGGGCAGGCACTTGAGCAGGTCCAAACTGCCTGTCACCCATGTGAGCACTTAAAAGTCAAACTAGGTAAACAAGGATGTCTGACCTTTCTGGAAAACAGTGAAATGATGAAAGTTCAGTCCCTAAGGAGTGACTGTATTTCTGTACTTCAGAAGGTCACAAACTGCCTCCAAATGCTTATTCACCAAGGTGGGCTGCCCCTGGAAGATGAGCAGATTAAAGATTTGGGGACCCAGGAAATCAGTGAACAGCAGGCTGCTGCAATCAGCACCATTCCCTTACAGACAGGGACCTTCTTTTCAAAAGACTCTGCTGATCACAGCTGTGCAAATAGCAAGAGAAGGAAAGCCTTTTTGGAAGGGAGGATTTATGTCTTTCATAGGTCAAGCTTCTTCTGAAATCAAGAGGAAGATCAGGACAGGTAGTGAAGCATGAATATAATATATCCACTTCAAGGTAGTATATAGCGTATGAGATCTTTTCTAAAGATTAAAAAGGGATTGATAGTATCTTGGGTTTTCGGCATACCTTGGAAATATCACCAGATTTCCAAGTTTTCAACATCAACAGTAAATGAAAGGTGAACTCCTCTTTACTTAAAGGGTAGAAAAGGGAGGTGATGGAAGAAAGATATAAGGTTGGCAAGTATTTTGTTGCTTTCTCTGAGCAACCCTAATCGTCACAAGTCAAAATATTTTGCAACAGGAAGGAAAGGATAACTTGTACACTGAGGTCTTTTATAAGAAAGGAAGTTCAGTCAGAGTGTGTGTTTCCTAAGCATCAGAGAAACAAATACATTCAGCACCAAAAAATGGAAAAACAGAACAAGTTTTCCAGGCACAGCTCACCTCTTCTCACAAGGCAGGTAGAAGTCCGACAGGAAGAGGAGGAGACACAATTTCAGATGCTCTACAGAGCCATGTTAAATTCCACCAATACTCCGAAACAAAGGCACAAGGTCTGAGTCTTTCTGTTGACAAGGTTTTGAGTATATATTTCTATATTTTTGTTTATATATTTATCTTCTACAACACACTACCATCATGTACATTATTTCATCTTATATGAATGGGCATGGGCTGTATTATCTTGGGAGCACCTTAAATGGTACACTGAAAAGGGAACATGTCTCTGCCTATGTATTTGTAGGCTGCATTTTACTTCTGGAGCAATTGGTTTGCAAAAACAAGAAGCATAATTTTTACCTGTTCTGGACATGCACGGATAATATTTTTTTTTAACATAAATATATGATAAATTTTAAGGCTACAAAATCAAGCGCTCTGTCTGAATCTTCTATAATAGGTATAATATTATACATTGTAATTCAGGGACAAAGAATCTATTGCAGTGTGATTCCTCTGGCCTTTTTTTCAGCAGTGCTACATAAAAGGGAGTAAAAATATTATTTTATAAAATATCACTCTATATCAATATCCATATCACTGCAAACCATGATGATTGCATGAAGGTGCATGAGATGTGTTTTGATTTATAGGTATTGGGCTATTTGTGTAGGCCATGAAAACCAGAGAGGATTCTGTTCTGTGTTTAGTAAATACATAGCATCTACTGTTTTGTGGAAGTATTCACCATTTCTGCTGATCTTTTGCCCAGGCCTGCTTTTTGTAAACCTCACCATTGCATGTGACATTTTAAGTACACATCACAAGAGTCGATGGTTTCAGCTAAGTAGCTGGAAACATTGAATAATTCATGCCTACATTCATATATTTCCTGGAGTTTTCAAGCAGGATGTTTCAACAGAAAAAAATTGAAGTTCACATAGATCCTGTGTCTACCCACAAATTGAAGCAATCACAATAATTGATTTGCTTCTTATTTTATTGGCAACAATAACCTTTGCCTTGATATCGTACAAGTAGAAAGAAAGGTTTTGTGAAGGTAATGTTGATGCCTAGAACAGAGGCTAGACAGTGTCAAAGGAATAAAGTAGGTATTTATTAAAAGGCCTTAAAGGATACACCTTGGGCAGTGCAAGATCCTGGCTAAGGCTACAATGGACCCCGGGTCATGAGTTTTCACACTTTTATAGGTTTTGGTCCATTTACATATTGGGGTCAATTGTCGAATTCCAGTTACAGGTTATGAAGTCCCATCCTCCCAGTTTGCTCTCCTCAATTCACTGCTGTTTATGCTTTTTGGGCCTGGAGCTGTAACAGTGTCCTTGGTTCTCAGGCTGGTAAAGGATTGTTTTGTCTAACTAAACGATGAAGAGAACTTGCTAACACTTTATATAAAGTTCAGAGTTACATACTAATGCAGTACAGAATCTGGAAAATATGAAAGTTACAATTTAAGGCATCAATGTGGAGATTTGTCTGTGCTGATTTTCTGGTCATCCCCTTACCAGCTACGAAATCCTGACACTCCTTAGCCATCTAGAAACTTCACTGAGTTTTCTTGATGCAAGTGCTTTAACTTCAG